TAGACTCCTAGGGATATGGTAAGCAGATAAGAAGGTAAGTTGTTGTTATTGCTCATTTGAATATGAAATTACAATGTTATCAGGTATGTCTTCATATATCGATTTTGAAAACTCATAAGAATAAGTATGAAATAATAGTTTTTAAGTTAAACGAGTTTATTTTAAAAGAAATAGTGGCTTCATTGGTTATTTTATGACTTTTTACCAACATTTGATTTTTGGTGTTAAGTGTGATATTTTTACTAGTTTAGTGTAGCTCATTCCTCTATTTAATAATTTCAGATAAATAAGACTAAGATTCAGATTCTGAACAGCAGGAGTGTTGCGAATAGAGGTCATCTCACGAACCCCATCAGAGTTGCCCAGTGGAGGTTAACTCCTTAGGATTTTATTTTGTTTTGATTTAACCATTTATTGCATTACTATGAGCTGCTATAAAGAGATATTTTCGTAACCCTACTGAACATTCTGATTTACTATGTAAGGAATGTAAATATTAAATTCTTAATTGTTTCCGCCTATAGCTAATATAATTCAATATTTTTATTTTCCTAAGCTTTGGGCTTTTACATCACGTGTAGTGAGGATCCCTATGAACCTCCAACGACACTGGTATGGAAGGTAAAATGATACGGTAGCAATGAACATTGTTAGAAATCTAACTTGGAAAATATGTAAAGAGTCAAACGTTATATATATCTATTGAAATGTATGTTATTATATTGTTATTCTGATTTTTATCTTAATGTACGGCGTTTAAAAAGTTGCAGGTTATGGAAGAAAATAATAACGTTTTTAGTTAAACGAGTAATGAACGCAGTAACATTTGAATTTTATTAAAAGTGTGTTTCATTGGTTGTTTTATATTTTCTACAACCCTTTTATTTTCTGTATCAGTGACAAGACGTTGATATTATGAGTTGATAATAATTATTATATTATATTTACTTTAATAAAATCAAAATTTTAATTTAATTTATTTGTATATTATTCTTAAATGCTTAAATTTTATTAGTTAATATAGCAATAATGGATGAAAATAAGAGGTTCTTTCTTCATGGAAAAAATTATACGTGGGCATGCCCCCCCCCCTCCCCAACGAACGACGGTGGTCTCATTTTTGGCCGGCTAAAATCAAAGGCGTGGAGTGGGGTTTGGTCGATCAAAATGGGAATAGACTGAGGCAGGGAGCAGTAAGCAGAGTGCGTGCGTGGTTGACGGGGCACGCGAAGCCGACCAATTCCACAGCTGCCGCGGGCCACACGTTTTTGCTCCAAATTAATTGCGTTAAATATGTCAACGGACAAATGTAATTTCCCGTTTTATTTTTACACAATGTTGGGAGTAAACAAACATATAAATTTATTCAAATAAACAAACAAAAAGGCCTAATTCAATTATTAACTTTTTGTTTTTCTCAGAGAATCTCTTGTTGCAAGTAGTGGGTTGGGAATGGGACGGCTGCCCGAGCCCCAAACTTATATGTATGACTCTATGCAAAATATACGATAGTAATATAATTAATTTAATTATTTTTTTAATAATTTAAATATGTGTAACAAATTTACCATTTAATAATGTAATTTCTTGATGGTAATTTTTAAATCAGTAATTTGTTTCTCTAAGTTTTTCACAATAAATAAAGCACAAAATAGTATTTATTTATTATTGTTTTAGTTATCAATTAAATTACATGTCCAACAAAATAGTATCAACTCTTATGTATTTTTTTTTTTATATAAAAAGTTGATATTGAACGTTTATTTCATTTAAAAATATTTTTTTATTTAAAAATAAAATAAATTATATATGTATTATTTATGTACGCAAAGTATGAAATAAAACATAAATGTAATATAAAGAACGTGTTAATTACAATTTTTAATGGCCTAAAAATTTTGAAATAAGTATTTATTGGACTACATGTACGTATATATTTGACTAAACAAATGGTTGGGATCTACACATAAATTTTCCATCCCTCGTTGTCTGATATTTTCTTCTACGTGTGAATTCATACCAAAAAAAAAAAAAAATCAGTTTATTTATTTTAATTGATTTTATTTTATTTTTTTAAAAAAAATATATATATATCCCATTAATAAAACAAGAAGAAAATACGTGCTTGCCCATCCAATTAGTATATATGCATATAATTAACTATTAATTTTTATTATGTATCTTATCTGCTTCTACTTTGACTATTCCTATGTAATCGTAATTGAAAACTTGCAAAATTATTCTTCGAAAAATAAATAATTGATACATACATACATACATCCATACATACATACATGCATACATATAGATATAGATATAGATATAGATAAACAACCGACTGACACGTAATTTGAACATAATTCTGTTAGATGAGAAATACGTCGATCCACATATTAATTATCTCAATAAATATTGATATCTACATATATCTATATATATATATATATACATGCAATAGTCCCAATCAAAGAGAAAAAAAAAAAAAAAGTCAATAGTCTTCGTTTTTAATTATACATGTCGTTTTTCTAAAAAAAAAGAAAATTATATATGTCTTTAAGCAAAATATTTTGTGTGTATATCAAAACCGAAACAATTATTTTTGTAATCCCCATCATGTCATGATATATATTAATTTAGAATACACGTGGAAAATTCATAACAATAATAAAAATATTATATACAATAAATATATAATAATGTTGTATGGACATTTTAATAATATATTAAGAGAAAATTAAATTGACCAATAAAAAAATTTCTTGAAACTATTAAGGAGGAAAATATAATTATATCTTGCTACCCATATTATTATAATAAATTATTTTCTTAATAAAATTTGACTAATATATATATATATATATATACACATAGGTATGACAATGCCACATGTCTGGTGTAGGGGAATAAGTGTTGTGGGGTTCCTTTTCATGATCCCCTAAAATCCACGTAAGGAGTCTCTTTTCATCTCTCCTTTTCACATTCACAGACACCGCATTTCACTTCATTATAAATCTCAATCAAACAAACCGCGTCTGATTTGTGTGTGTGTGTATATATATATATATATATGTATGTAAGGGAATTGAAGTGGGTGTTCCATCATTTCCATTATAATTAACATAGCCACTGTTACTACTGTATCCAAGCTTATATATACATATATATATATATAGAGAGAGAGAGAGAGAGTTAAGTACTTGTAATGGATACTAGTTTTCTGGTGATGAGTTTCTTCTCCTTCTTCTTCATGTTGTTTGTGTTGAGTGAATGGGAAATGGCGGCGGCTGCACCGCCGGCGGCCGGATACGTGTTCGGAGACTCACTGGTGGACGTCGGCAACAACAACTTCCTTGCTATATCCGTTGCCAAGGCTAATTTTCCGCACAACGGCGTCGATTTTCCTACCGGAAAACCCACTGGAAGGTTCAGTAATGGCAAGAATGCTGCTGATTTTATTGGTAACCTCTCTCTCTCTCTCTCTCTCTCTCTATATATATATATATATATAGATAATATGCTTGTACTTATTATTTTCTTTTAGTAATTAAGTATATATATATATATATATAGATATATGCTCGTAATTATTATTTTCTTTTAGTAATTAAGCAGCTATCCAGCTACTTCTTTTTTGAAACCAAAAAAAAAAAAAAGTTAAAATATTTATTTCATATTTAAATGCGGTTAAAAAAACTTAAAGATGACTTAATTAAATTACTAATACTACTTTAATTAAAATTATCTAAATAAAATCTAATTATTTTTGAAAAATAAAACAAAAGTGAAAGTTTAAAATAAATATAAAACATCAAACTACAACAAATGTTGAATTTGAAAAATTAATTTAATATTTTTTTTAGTAAAAGCTAAAATATCTCAAATTAAAAACAAACTAAAACATCTAAATTTGTCTAAGTTACATATATATATATATATCAGTATAAATATATCAAAAAAATTTATAAATATTATTATTACACTTTAATAAATTTTGTAACAAAAACTTGAAACTAAATAATTACTCCATAATTAACTATATAGAAGTATTTAAGAGTTGAAGATTATTATTGTTTGTATAGAAGATTTAATTATATATATTAATATTATTTTGTCAGCTGAAAAAGTGGGCTTACCGACGTCACCGCCGTATCTCTCGCCGGGAACCAAAAACAACGTCTCCGCTTTCTTAACTGGTGTTAGCTTTGCCTCTGGTGGTGCAGGAATCTTCAATGGCACAGACCAAGTTTTTGTAAGTCAAAATTTTCTTCTTTTAAAAAAAAAAAAAGGGAAAAAGAAAAAACCATTTGGGCTTTCAATTTAGAAGCCCACGAAATAAAAATCTCAAATATTAATTCGAACAAAAATTGTTATTTTAACAAATGCGGTGAGCGTGGATCGAACACGCGACCTTCAGATCTTCAGTCTGACGCTCTCCCAACTGAGCTATCCCCGCTTTTGAAACTCTAATCCAAATTTCTTATTATATCTCTAGGGGCAATCGATACCGTTGTCGAAACAAGTAGGTAATTATATTTCTGTTTATGGTGCTTTGGTGGAGCGGCTGGGATCCTCTGCTACGCACACACACCTTTCTAAATCGCTCTTCACCATTGTGGTCGGTAGCAATGACATCTTTGACTACTTTGGATCGTCCGATCTCCGCAAGAAGAATACCCCACAGCAATATGTGGATCTAATGGTCATCAAACTAAAAGAGCAATTAAAGGTATTATCATAAGTTTCAGTTTATAACATATGTGATATCTTTTCTTCCTTTCTAAAATAATATACATTAACTAAATTATTAAATTTAAAAAAAAAGTTGTTTTATTTTTAATAATTACACATAATTTATATACATATATATAAATTTTTTAAATATATATATACAAAATTAAAATAGTTTTTGTATATTTTGACTGGCAGAGACTATATGATTATGGTGGTCGTAAATTTCTTGTTGCTGGACTTGGAGTAATAGGCTGCATTCCCGCGCAAAGAGTAAAGATCCCAACTCACGAATGTAATGAAGAAGTAAACCATTGGTGCATTCAATACAATGAAAGATTAAGGTCAATGTTACAAGAATTGAAGTCACAGCTCCACGACATCAATTATTCATACTTCAACACTTACAATATATTAAACAATATTATTCAAAAATCATCTACCTTCGGTTAGTACATGATTCCTAATTGATTTTACTTATTTTTTTAAAATATTATTTTATAAAATAATAAGATAAATATATTTTTAGTCTAATATATTTGTTTATTTATCTTTATAATCAAGTTTTTTTTTTTTTTTTTTTTTTTGTATCTTAGTTCATATACAATACAAATAGTAGATCTTATACTTCATCATAAACATTTAAAAAAATTAGAAATTGAAAATTTCATTTTATTTCAGGGTTCAATGAGGTTAACTCGGCTTGTTGTGGACTTGGAGAATTGAGAGCTAAGGTTCCTTGCATACCTATTTCTAAATTTTGTTCGAACAGAAAAAACCACGTCTTTTGGGATCTTTACCACCCAACAGAAGCAGCTTCCCGTATTTTGGTTGATACTATTTTTATTAGTTCTTCGCAAGATATATTTCCAATGAATCTACAACAATTAATTAATATATAAGATGTAAGCTCTATGTAATTAGATAAATTTTTATAAATAATTAATTATTTGAGTG